ATTTCCATTTATCAGGTCTACTGACGTGCAGAGTAAGAGCCGCAGACTTCAGTAAAATGGATCAGAGTCTAATGTTTGTCGAGAAGAAGCAGATTGGATATACACACACAAACATGCATACATGCTCAACACTGGTGAAATACACAAACACAAGGACATGTGCGTACGCAGATGTCGAGGCGCGGGCACTCGCTCAGAACACACGCACTTGTGCACAAACACGGCAGACAAAAAAAAAAAACAACGGAGCACCTCACACGGCGGACCGATCACAATCCTTGAAGTAGAAGTTTTGACAGTTTGACAGCACACGCTGTCTTTTGTGCAGCAGAAGAGGCTTATGGAGTCTGTCTGCTGCCCTCGACACTTCTCCTCTTCGAGTAATAAAACGCGCGCGCCATATGGCTTTATGCATAACACTACACAAGCTCGAGAAACTTCACTTGCTTGAGACAAAACAAACAAAATGTAAAAATAGACATTAGAAAAATACCAGCTCTGAGGCGGGGGTTCAAAACGCGGCATTATCATATGAATTTGAAGGGTTTCTTTTCAAAATAAGACATCAATCATTTGGGGAAAAAAATGACACCTTCTCTCTGGGAATGATTGCTGTCACAAAAATAAAGCTCAGAGGTTACTAAAAACGCTTTTACACATCGTATCTTCTCATTTATTTATATCTGAGCAAAGAATCATGTCTGTTTTAGAGATAATAACTAGATATAAAAAAGAATTCTAGCACTTGTAATGACTGAAACCCAGGGTGTCACAGTGGGGGGGAAGTGGGACTAAACCCCGGGGCCCCAGTGGGAGGGGGGCCCTCAGAAAGCCAGGAATGAAAAGTTTGGTTTTGTTTGCAATTTTGATTTTAAGTGGTAAGTGCCGTAACCAGTGTTGGGCAAGCTACTTGGAAAATGTAGTTAGCGTAGCTAGCAGTTACTTTACATCAAAATAAAGTTTCACTACATTGAAGCTACCCCCAAGAGAAATGTAGCAAGCTAAGCTATGAGAAAATGGCAAAAGTAGCTTGCTACATGCAAAGCTACTTTTACTTTTTTATTTTATACTTTTTGTCAAATCAGCATTACCTCAGTGTTGAGAAGAACTATCAGCCACATAAAAAATGTTCAGTTGAACTGTTAATTATAAAATACCAGACTTAAAACTTTCTTCTTATTTTTCTTTCCTTTTTTTTTTTGGAAGACTTTTTGTGACATTGAACATGACCTCCATTAACATGATCATAACATCAGTCGGCCTATTGCGCTCATTCTTTCTCTCTCCTCTTCCTGCTTAATGCATATTCTGTCTTGGCCTCTTTCAGTGGGCTATCTGGCTATGTGAGTAATTCAAAAACACAGTTCCAAAATATATTTTACAGTCAATAAAATCACAACAAATAAAAGACAGTCATATAAACAATAAAAATAACAGACCTAAATGAAAACTTTCCTTTTTGGGGGGACATTAGAACATGAACATGTCCTGCCAATAACATCTGACATCAGTATGTCACTGTCTCTCCCCTCTCTTCCTTCTTAATACTGTTCTCTGTCTCTCTAGCTCTTTCCTTGGCCTTTTTTGAGTGTACTTCTCCAGTGTCCACTGCAAATCCACTAAATAGCTACAATAGCTAAAATAAAGGATTAGTACGTGATGTCATGTGGAGGTGCTTCCCTAATCCACGTCTCTGTGTGGCGCTGGCGTCAGTCACATTTCTTATCCTCAGTTTTATTAGCTTTACTTTAATTCAGACCTCTGCAGAAAAAAAAGGCAGCTGCATTTCAGAGCTTTTGCCGTTAACTTTTGTGGACGCTACCGCGCTACTCTGACTACTCAGAAAGTAGTGACGTTACCACTACTGAGAAATGCAGTTAAATTTGTAATGTCGCTACTCATAGTGATGGTTTAGTCCACCCCTAATGCAGCTAGAGTCAAGGGCGTGACTGCTTATGCTGCTGGAGCGCTATGTCTTTCCCAAAGAAAAAAAAAAAAAGACAGAAAAGGGAAAGAAAACTGACTTTGTGAAATAAATAAATACATATAATCAAAAGGTGCATGAGAGGGACATGAATCAAGAGAGGAACTACAGGGGACCCACAGAGACTGCTCATAGGGCCCAGAATTAGGTGCTACACCCCTGACTAAAACCCTTCATATCCTTTTAGCACCATAGTGGATGACATTTAAGCCTTAAAGCCAGAACACACAAGGACAGAACAGCTTTGCATGAACTCAAACAGTCAAATGGCACAAGTCCTTATGAGGGGAATGTAGCTTTAAGGGTGACGCGCCACCTTTAAAATAGAAAAAAACCAACGGGGCTATTTTTCAGACGACTGTCATCCGTCGGCGTGACAACTATTTCTCATTCCCAAAATAAAATCCATCTCCATGTCCAACATTATGAATAAATTCCCCAAAATATCTGTAAATAATAAGAATCTGGTGAAAAACGGTGACACGTGAAATCTTATCCACAAGGATTAGGGGGCTCTATATCTGTCAAATACTAAAATAACTTAAGGTGAAGTGAACTGCGAAACCTTTGATCCTGCTCACTCTGTCTCCCTCTCAAGCCTTATCACATCATCCATTTCCTCACTTGTTTGTTGCTGTGAGTGACACCTCATCCTCAGCCTTATACAATATCTGTCAGATTGCATTATTAATGCTGATAGAGTGCCGGATGAATCGTCATGTGAATAAACTGCCGCGGTGGAGGAGGGCGGAGGAGGAGTGCAGAGAGGTCACAAAATGATCAAAGAATAGTGAGGAAATAGATGACAGACGGGGCGTTTTTTTGGTTTTTTTTGCTTCGCCACATCAACCCCAGGGAGTTTGAAAATACATAGATAAACAGCTTTTTCATGGAAGAGTGAATCCTGTTAATTTGTTGGTGCTGGTGAAGTAATAGCAAGTATTACACAATAATAAGCCTCCCTTGTGGATTCTCTTTTTTTTTTTGACACAATACTGTAATCACCGCAAAATGAATCACCTTAAATTCCCCCTTATCACGTGCTGTTATTTGCCTGGTCGCAAAGTTATGGATTTACTTTAATAAAAAACTATAAACACTGTCATGTGATAATCACTGCGTGCTGATTCCCCGCTCTGCCTTGCAGAGTTGAAGAGGATTAAGCCTGGGTTCCCTTCATAGCAAACCCAATAATATGTATGACAGAGCTGCAGGCGGCTTAGTGTTTACTGCCTCACATCTCTCTGAGGAGCTCGGACGCACTGCATAGACATGCCTGATGTTTTTCTCTCTATCACCTCTCCTTCTTCTTACACTAAATCACTGCTGATACCTACTGCACTGCACCCCTCCTTCAGCCTCCACATTATAGCTCCACCAGCAGCTCCATCTGACTGCAGCGATTTTGGTCCACCTCTTATAGCGTGTAATCAACATACAGCACAGTGCCTCCGCTAACACACACAATGTGGTCTCCAGTGAAAAGTACTGTTATTAAAAGAACGTGTTTACTGGCAAGAATGTTGCTTTAAAAGCTTATTGTTGTTCTGCTGTGAAAAACATGTATCTATACAATGTCAGCTTTACATGAGCTGTAAGAAAAAAACACCCTTTTTTCAGCTTTGTGAATTGTTTAATGGATTATTTGGCTTAAGAGTGACCTATTTTGCTGCCCCTTATTTTCTGGCATACATAAATAATATTACAGTGTTGAATGTTTATGTTAAATGTGGCCAGTGTTTAAAGCAATTGGGGTAACTGTGTGTAGAAGTAAGCCCTGTGAGCAAAAACCTCAGGCTTCACACCTTTCTGAATATCTGGCTACAAGATGACGTCAGATCATGACAGATTTCCTTGTATGGTGTTCTGCATCAGGCACACAACTGCAAGTGTTTCCATTACATACACTGCTACATGTAGCTACGTGCTAACATCAGGGAAACATGTAAACTTGGTTGCTAATGTTAATTTCTGTCCAATTTCGGATCATTTACCTGCTGGAACATTTCTGGTTGTATCCTCATACAACTGTTCATATGATATCACAATGGTTATTGTCCCACGGATTACCTTACATACTCAACATAAAGCTATGTAATAAATGTAAGTAGTTATGTAGTTTAGGTTTAGGAAAATAAAGTTATTATGGCTAAGTTTAGGGAAAAGAAACGTCTTGTTGGGAAAAGTCCTTTGTTTTGTGACCTATCCATCACCCTAACCTGCCTCCTAACTAGACTGCTCAGGGCCGCTTCCTTCTTTCTCCTGTCAGCACACTGGACTCTTAAGGTCAAGTTAGAAGCAAAACATGTTTACTCAGACTGAGTAACCTTGAATGATCTCGTTCTGGAAAGAAGTCTAAGAGCTGGCAAATATTGTGATGGTCAAACATTGTGATGGGGAAATAGATGTCGTTGGCAGAACAAGTTGTGGTAAAACTCCCAAGTGTTAAGATGGAGATAAGCGCAAGTTCTGGAAACGGCACAAAATCACACACACACACACACACACAC